ATAAAAGGAAACCCAGAAACAACATGAGTGGAAGTTAAGGGCATTATGCAAGGGAAATAAACAAATAAAATGAATGCAGAGAAGGAGAAGGAGCCTGGCAGTTGCCAGGAGTTGAGGATGGGGAAAATGGGAAGACACTGGTCAAAGGGTACAAACTTCTAGTCTTAAGACAAATAAGGTCTGAGGACCTAAAGGACAGCAATGGTGACTCTAGTTAGCAGCACTGTATTGTACAACTGAAAGTTGCTAAGAACGGAGATCTTAAAAGTTCTCACCCCCCCCCCAACACACACACAAAAAGATAACTACGTGAGGTGATGGGATGTGTTAACTAACCTTATTGTGGTAAACATTTTGCAATATACATATATCAAAACATCATGTTGCACACCTAAATCTTACACAATGTTGTATGTCAATTATACCTCAATAAAGCTGGGGGAGGGGGAAACGAACTAGTCAATATTTCGGTTTTGTAGCCCAGATGGCCTCTGCCACTATGATTCAACTGTGGCCGTAGAGCGTGAAAACGGTCAGAGACAGTATGTAAATGAATGGGGAAGGATGTCGTCCAGTAATTTCTTTACATAAATGTGTTTATTTATTAACATAAACAAATTGTGGCACATCCATATGACAGAATATTATTCGGCCATAAAAAAAAAAAAGAATGATGTGTGATAAAATGCACGGATTCATGCCACAACACAGATGAACCTCAAAAACATTATCCTGAGTAAAAAACAAGAACAAAACAAAAGAAACAAACAACAACAACAACAACAAAACAGCCAGACACAAAAAAGTCACATAGTGTCTGATCCCATGTGTGTGAAACATCCAGAACAGGCAACACACAGAAACAGAAAACAGGTCAGTGGTTCCCAGAGGCTGGAGGACAATGAGTGTGACTGCTCTGGGTGCAGGGTTTTTACTTCAGGGAGCTGGAGATGTTCTGGAACAAGACAGAGATGATGGTTGCACAATATTATGAAGTACTAAATGCCACTGAATTATACATTTTTTAAAGTTTATTTACTTTGAGAGAGAGACAGAGAGAGAGAGAGAGAGGGCACGAGCAGGGGAGGGGCAAGAGAGGAAGAATCCCAAGCAGGCTCCGCACTGTCAGAGAGCCCAATGCAGGGCTCGAACTCACGAACCGCAAGATCCTGACCTAAGCCAAGATCAAGAGTCTGACGAAAACCGACTGAGCCACCCAAGGCGCCCCTGAACAATACGCTTTCAAACAGTTCATTTTATACGAGGTGACTTTCTTCTTGAAAAAAAAAAAACAAACAAACCCAAAAGCAAATCAAAACAAAACAAAACAACAACAACAAAAAAAACACATCACCTACAAAACAGCCAGTCCACAGGCTATAGTTTCCTAACTCCTGCTTTCTCTTAACAAAACCCAGAGCTGAATAAAAAACCACAAGCATATAAAATCTTAGCTTCAAACCCCACACACAGCAGTTATTATTATTATTGTTATTATTATTATTATTATTATTATTAACCAGGGTCTTCATGACTATTCTGCCACCAAAATGAACATTCTTAACCCTGATGTTGGCCCCAGGCCCAGTCTTGCCCCGAGCTCCTCTCCCTCTAGCCTCTGGCCACAATCCCACCCTTCACTTCATGAGACTACTGGTCTGTCTGCGGCCTGGACGGGCCTTCCCCCACCCTGGCAGGCGGTCCTCATGAGGCGTAAGGAAAGCAGGGGTAGGGAGTGGTGATTCGTCCCTCCCAGGCCCAGCCCAGGCCAGGTGCTTTGGTGCGTGGGTGCCTGCATGTGTGTGTGTGTGTGTGTGTGTGTATGTGTGTGTGTGCCCATATTTCAAAGCCCCATCCCAAACTGACCCCATCCTCAGTCAGGCCTTTTGTGCACTCAGCAATCCCGCCCTGCCACCCACCTGGCCCATGGCCTGTGCTGGGCACTTCTGGGCACCCTAAGAGGACTCAGCCTCTCCTAGTGGGGGGAGGAGGAACCGGATAGAGAAACTCCTGGCCCTATATGGATGAGTCTGAGTCAAAGGGAGGAACCCCAGGCTAGGGAGCCAGGATGGGGAAGGAGGGGGAGCCAGGGGTAAATCAGGGAGGCTCCCTGGAGGAAGGGTCCTACCCCAGGACACAAACCCCAGACGCACTCTGAGGGAAATATTGGTCGGCCACGGCATACTCCGCTCCCCAGGTCTCTGCCACCAATTCCAAGCTTCAAAAGGAGATCAAGGCTGTCTGACTGGCTGGCCCACGAACTCCTGGGTGTGAAGTCACTCTGCAGCAAGTCTGCAAACACTTCCCCAGTATGAACTACTCTGACCCTGACCCTGACCCAGCCACAGGAGAGTGGAAACATGTTTTGTGCTTGGAGCGCTCCCCAGGTTCCAGCTACATGACCTTGAGCAAGTCTCTGAGCTCATGTCCTGCTGGGTAAAACGTGCGTAAATAGATGGTGAGATACGACCGGCAAGGGTCCCCCACGACTGCAATTGATGGGAGGCTCAGAGGGACGAACCCAAGGTCAAGGGCATTTCCAGACCAGGTGGACACAAGGTGGGGATCTCCTCGGCCACCCCTCAACATTCTGAAGGCCTCCCCCTGACGGACATATGGGGCGCCTGGGTGGCTCAGTCAGTCAAGCGGCCAACTTCAGCTCAGGTCATGATCTCCTGGTTCGTGAGTTTGAGCCCCATATCAGGCTCCACTCTGACAGTGTGGAGCCTGCTTGGGATCCCCTGTCTCTCTCTCTTTCTCTCTCTCTGCCCCTGCCCCACTCATGCTTTCTCTCCATCTCAAAAAGTAAATAAACAAACTTAAAAAAAAAAAGCTGGTATTTTGTTTATCATAGACTTTTTGCATTCATTTTCGTCTTTTAAAATATTGCATTAAGGGGCACCTTGCGTGGCTCAGTAGGTTAAACGTGCTACTCTTGATCTCAGCTCAAGTCTCTTTTTTTTCTTTTTCAGCTCAAGTCTTAATCCCAGGGTCACAAGAAGCTCATGTTGGGCTTCGCACTGGGCATGAAAAAATAAAAATAAAAATAAAATATTTCAGGGGTACCCGGGTGGCTCAGTCGGTTAAGCATCCAACTCTTGATTTCGGCTCAGGTCATGATCTCACGGTTGGTGAGCAGCGACCCCCGCATCAGGCTCACTGCTATCAGCACAGAAACTGCTTAGGATCCTCTGTCCCCCCGGCTCTCCGCCCGTCTCCCGCTCGCACTCTCCCTCAAAAATAAATAAAACATGACAAAATAATAATAAAAATAAATTAAAAAATAAATAAATGGGGCGCCTGGTGGCTCAGTCTGTTAAGTGTCCAACTTCGGCTCAGGTCATGATCTCGTGATTCATGAGTTCGAGCCCCACATCGGGCTCTGTGCTGATAGCTCAGAACCTACTTCAGATTCTGTGTCTCCCTCCCACTCTGTCCCTCCCTTGCTCTGTCTCTCTCCCTCTCTCAAAAATAAATAAATATTTAAAAACCTTAATTTAAAAAATAATAAAATAAAATATTGCATTAAAATATTAACTTGATCTCAGATTTTAAGCAACACCTTTGAATTTTGCACCCTAGGTGAATGCCTCACTCTCCTCATCAGTCCTCCCACCAGATGGACCCACAGTCCCAATCCTACACGTGGTTCTACCAGGCAGAGCCCCCTTATACCCAAATCCTTGGAAACTGGGACTCAAAGGCAGAGATTTGCTTGGAATCTCTTGGAGAGGGGCCTCCATTAACTCCCTTCCCTAGCACCCTACTCCCTGAGGCCCCATGTGTGATGCTGGGTGCCCAAAGAGAGGACACTGTATCTGCCAAAGCCCCTCAACCCACCCCCCCTCCTCCTCTCACCCCCTCCTGGGGAATCCCAGGCCCGGCTCAGCCTGGGCATTCCCAGGCCCGCCCAGGGCCTGCCCCATGCTGAGTCCCCAGCCTGGTGGGTCTCCTGGAAACTCCCCAGGTTGGTTTCAGGGTGGGAGACCCACAGTGAAGCAGCCGCAACCACTTGGAGCCCATCCCACCTGAAACTGGAATAAAGGGGAGGCGGGTTCGTTTCTGCAGGACTGAGCCACAGCACCGCACCAGGAAAGAGGAGGGCCCCTCCCTGTCAACCCAGGCGAGCCCAGAAGCCAGCTCCTGGGACAAAGCCAGGGTCCTGAATGCTCTGGCCCAATCCCTGCTCTCAGCTGCCTCTGATTGCTTGGGATCAGGACTTGGAACTGGATAAGAGGTGACACCTCCTGATCCCATGGGCTCAGCGCAAGCCTCAGCAAAAACAATCCCCAGCCCCTGTGCCCATCTTCTGCCTGAACCTGAGGTGCTGGCAGCGAAGAACACAGGAGGCCTTATCAACCCCGGGTTTTTCCTACTCTCCCTTCCCCCAGCACAGCCGGTCTTACCAGTTGGGCAGACACCTGAGAGTCCCCTCCGGTGGCCAGCTGCAGCTCCAGAACAATAATTATAGGAAGGGGTTAGGGTTTGCTGGACCGGCCTCAGTCTGCTTCTCTTGGGAATGGGAAGTTTGTTGGAGTCTAAACTACTTGGCCTCCGGACCCCTCCTGGGATGGCCTGGCTTGCTGACCCTGGACCTCAGCCTGGGAGGGACAGGATAGGATAGGGGAGTCCCTGAAACCAGACAACCTTGACCCAGGGCACTCTGTCCCCATGCTCCTGCTACCTCCCGCCCACAGCTCTGCAAGGGGCAGCTGTGTCATTCACCACTGGACTTTGACAGTAGCCAAAGGCACCAGTCAATTCTCTCTTCCAGTTCTGCCAACGTCTCCGCTGAGGTCAACTGGATATGTCCCTCAGAAGCTGGAACCCCACAATGGTGGCCCAGGGTGTCCTCTGGGTCCTGTTTGGATTGCTGCTGCGGCCGGAGCCCGGGACAGGTGGGTCAGAAGGCAGAGACCTGGGGCTGGGACTCGATTCTGCAAAAGTGTATTGTGCCCTCTCTGTGTCCAGCCCTGTACAGGGTGAGGCTGGAGACCCCAGGAGGCCCCAGTCTCAAGGAACCTCCAGTCTCCAGATGCTGCCAGCCCCAAAGGGTCAGGACTCAGGAGCTGGGGGAAGGACTTGGAGCCAGAAGAGCAAAAATCAGGAAAGTTTCCTGGAGGAGGGGACATAGATTTAAGACAGGAAGAAGGAAAAAAAAAAAAATCACTTGGTAGGGAAGCAGGAACGGGTGTTTTAGGCAAAAAGAAGAATAAAGTTATAGAGGAATCACAGTGTGGACTGTCTGGAGAAGAACCTGGATTCTAGAAAGAGTGTAAGGATTAAAACTTCCTGGGTTCACATCCTGCCTCTGTCACTTCCTAGCTGTGTGATTCTAGGCAGACGATTTAGCCTCTCTGTGCTCACAGGGTCACTGTGAAGATTAAATGGGTTAGGTCACCTAGAATGGTGCCTGGCACATAGTAAATGTTTAATAAACATTAGCTGTCATTCAACATCCCATTCAGCTCGAGCCCAGCATTCCTCAGTTCCGGGTTCAGGCACTTGACATTTCCTTCACAGGGCACAGGCCCACTCTCCCCTCCCTGGCCATCCTTAGAGACACCTATCCCTCTAAAATTCCCCAAACTCCAATCCATTAAAAACTCCATTTTGGGGCACCTCGTTGGCTCAGTCGGTTAAGCGTCTGGCTTCAGCTCAGGTCATGATCTCACGGTTCGTGGGTTCGAGCCCCACGTCAGGCTCTGTGCTGACAGCTCAGAGCCTGGAGCCTGCTTCAGATTCTGTGTCTCCCTCTCTCTCTGCCCCTCGCCTGCTCTCTCTCTCTCTCTCTCTCTGTCTCTCAGAAATAAAAAATAAAACATTAGAAATTAAAAGAAAAGAAAAACTCCATTTTCCCCTCAAAGCACCTGGGAGCTCTGCCCATTTTTGTCCATCCCACTGACACTACCCTGGCTTTGGCTACCTTCATCACTTACCTCCACACTGTCTCCACTCTCCCTTCTCTCGCCTCCCCCAAATCCATTCTCCACATGGTAGCCAAAGGAGCAGCCTTAGAATACCAACCAGGCCCTGTCTCTCTCCTGCTCATGGACCTGCCATGGCTCCCCAGTGCTCACTGATCGTCTAAGCTCCTTAACTGGCTATCTGTGCCTCAGTTTCCTCATGTACACAAGGATGGTGTTGGGGGTCACAGGGTTGTCCAGTGAAGAGCTGGGGGCATTGAGAAAATGTGAAAGCAGCAGGGGGAGGAACAGGGGAGGTGCTGGGCCACTGGGCTAATGTTGTCTGTCCTCCTGCAGCAACCCTGCCCCTGCTCATGGACTCTGTCATCCAGGCCCTGGCTGAGCTCGAGCAGAAGATACCAGCCACCAAGGCCAGGCACACTGCTTCTGCATGGCTGCTGTTAGCCCAGGAGTCGGGTCCCCGCGATCTTGTCCATCACTTCCTGCTGGAGGGGCGGAGTCTCAAGGCCACCAGGCTGGATCCCCACCAACTGAGCCCAGAGCTTCGAGGTCTAACCAAGGACGTGGTCCAACATGGTGTTCGGGCCGGGCAGGAATATGGAGTTGTGCTGGCACCCGATGGCTCAACGGTGGCAGTGGAGCCTCTTCTGGCGGGGCTGGAGGCAGGGCTGCAGGGGTACAGGGTTGTAAACCTGCCCTTGGACAGCACAGCCAGCCCTCTGGATGCTGGAGCCACCTTTGCAGACACTGAAGCCACGGTTCCCGATGTAAGAGCCACATCTCCAGGGTTCAGGGATGCCCTTCCAGATGTCATCTCTGCAGATGTTGGAGCCATGTATTCAAATGTGAGAGCTGCAGATCTAGATGTCAAACCCACCTCTCCAGGTGTTAGACCTGGCTCTCCAGATGTCCCCGTCACCTCTCCGGATGTCCAAGCTCCCTCGCCAGGTACCAAAGTCAAGTCCCCGACTACGGTGGACAGCGTCCTGGTGGTCACCCTGGCCAGAGACCTGGGTCTGGCCTTCCTCCAGGGCCCTCAGACCTGGAGTCATTCAGGCCTGGGAACCGACGGTTGCTGGGACCAGCTATCTGCCCCCCGGACCTTCACACTCTTAGACTCCAAGGCATCGCCAGTCACCATGGCCTTCCTCAACGGTGCCCTGGATGGGGCCCTCCTAGGAGATTATCTAAGCCGAACTCCTGAGCCCCGGCTACCTCTCAGCCACCTACTGAGCCAATACTATGGTGCTGGGGTGGCTGGAAATCCAGGACTTTGCAGCAACCTCCGACGGCAGAACGGAGCTGCTCTGACTTCAGCCCCTACATTGACCCAGCAGGTGTGGGGGGCCCTCATCCTGCTACAGAAGCTGGAGCCAACACACCCTCAACTGCAGGGCATGAGCCAAGAACAGCTGGCACAGGTAGCGACCAATGCTACCAAGGAATTCACTGAGGCCTTCCTGGGTGAGAACAGCCCCCATCCCCTGTGATTCCCTG